TTTTGGTATTTTTTTTTTGAGACAGGGTTTCACTATGCAGTTTAGGCTGGCCTTGAACTCCAGGCTGGCCTCGAACTCTAGGCTGGCCTCAAACTCATAGCGATCCTCCTGAGTGTTCAGCCTCCTGAGTTCTGACATTAGTTGTATGCTGTGTCACCTGGCTCTCTTATTCTTGAAGCTGCTTACTAAGATCTTTTTATTTTCATTGCCATATATTAAATCACTTGGTAATACTGCAGAAGAGTTGAAACACTGACCTTTTTTTGATTGCTACCAGTATGTTGTTGTTGTTACGTCTCTTCATTAAGTTTACTATCCATTTCTCATATATTTTTCTAATTTCTTATCAGATTTGATTAAGGAAGTGCTAAGCATGGATGATGAAATTCAAAAATTGGCAACAGAACTATATCATCAGAAGTCAGTCCTGATAATGGGAAGAGGCTATCATTATGCTACTTGTCTTGAAGGGGCACTGGTATGTTTTCACATAATTAATTTCAGTCTGTTGATATATAGACTGGCACAGTCATTATTTTGTTTTGGTTTAGTTTTGCAGTGCAGGACCTTTCACATGCTACACAAGCTAGCCACTGACCTATACCTCTAGCCTCAGCCATACTTTTTGAATGAATGAAATAGGTGGGACTTTTTAAAGTACTCTTTATTAGTGCAACCTTTTCCCCCTTCTGAATGTTTTGCTTTTGTACCCGGGAAATGAAGATTAAGTTATTCATTCAAGATTAAGAAAAAGATGGTAGGGATAGATTCTTCAAGTGCTCATTTGGTTTAATGTTCATTGGTATTGCCATAGAACTTAATTCAAAAGTAAAAACCAGGAACAGTACATTATAGTATGATAACTTTTATTTAGCAAGTAACCTGGGTTTATGTGTTGTCCAACTACGAAAGATTAAATTAAGAAGTGGGAGAAGAGTTACAAAGAAATACGAAAATATACAAGAAACCTTTGTGGAGCTTTAAAACTTCCAAATACTGCATTATACTATAGAAAAAGATAGTATAGATACTACAGAAATAATGATCTACTAGACTTGTTAGTCTATTTGTGGACCAGTGGCCTTTTAATACTTTTGTATGAATTGTAACTTCATATATCAGATGTTTTGTGTAATATTTACTTGAAGATAGAATTTTAAAAATGTTCTAAAGCTCTATCTGGTTCTTTTTAATTAGAAAATCAAAGAAATTACTTACATGCATTCGGAAGGCATCCTAGCCGGTGAATTGAAACATGGCCCTCTAGCCTTGGTGGATAAGTTGATGCCTGTCATCATGATCATCATGAGAGATCACACTTATGCCAAATGTCAGAATGCTCTTCAGCAGGTGGTCGCTCGACAGGTGAATCAGGGCTGGCTGTCAGGACACTTCGGGGTTAAGAGTTATTAGCGCTTATTTTTTTTTCTTTTAATTCTAAATCATTTATTTATTTAGTTAGTACGTGCAGAGTCTTGCTACACAGCTCAGACTCATAGTCATCTTCCTGTCTCAGCCTCCGCAGTGCTGGGACTATAGGTGCACA